TTGAGATGGTTTTACTGGGGCAATGAACAATAATCTAATTTTGAAAGATCAGGTATATATAATAGTAACTCAAAGGAGCATACAACAAAGAAAATAGAGTAATACTATTTCATTATGACTGTATAGTAAGCAGGGCTCTAGAGTGTAGTATTAGAGTCATAAATGCATTTATTTGACATAATTTTATTTTTTCTACATGAGCACAAAGATTAATGGACAAATATAATAATAATCATTAGAGTTATTCCTAAAGTTCGTGGCTACTTTCTGAGCTACATTGGTACAGTTAACCACCAAGAGAAAGTTCCCAACACAAACAAGGGTGTAAGATAATAATAATAATAATAATAATAATAATAATAACAATAATAATAACAATAATAATAAGAAGAAGAAGAACGTTATTAAAATCTCCTCAGAAAACCTGTTTGCAAATCTACAGGCATTCCACTAATAATAATAATTATTATTATCATTATTATTATTATTTTATTATTATTTTATTATGCAGAGGTCTATAAATGTGTACTAAACCATTGAGATAAAATCTTGAAAAACTTCAAGAACTGATTTAACATGTTAAAAAATTTAAAAGGAACCTTTTGATTCAAACGAGTTAAGAAGTGGACAACTGATACTATCTTACTTTACGCACCCAGTGAAGTTGGATATGGTCCTGTTAATGTTCACAACTACAGAGCACCAAGCTGTGGCCAATTGGCCACCATTAAAAAAGCTTTTATAGAGGATTTGATGACACTCATTGTAAATGTAAGTATGGGTGCACATCTAAATAATAACAGGTTCCCCAAGCGTCTAAGGATGGTTTCTGCATGTATATGTATCTTGCTTAATTGTAAACTCAGCAACTGTGCATACCTTGACACATGAAGAAGAAACTGGAAAGCAGTGACAACCGGAATTTCTTGTTTGGGTGCCAATCTCATTCCAAATGTTTGCCTCTTTGCCTGACATCACCAAAACTGGTGGCTTTGGCCTAATTGGTACATTTTCAAAAGGAATGCGGTAGCCTTTCTTTTTGTTTATTTGGGAAGCTGTCTGCTCATCGACTTGACTAGATGATAAAGGGGAAAGAGGATGTCTCCTCTTCGAAAGATGATGGCCCGGAATGACAACTGAAGACTTCTTCCACATTGCTTCAACTCTGTAGTGGCAAGTGTCACACACTGCACGAGGAAGGCTATCGTCTGCCCGAGCGTTTTGATTATACACTTCCTCAAACTTTGTCAGAAACTCGCCATCAAGATTTCTCTTTCTCTTCTTGTTTACAAAAACGAAAGCGCAAACTCGACAATGGTCATAAACATTATTTTCTCCATTACTATTACTCATTGTGAACTCGAAAGAGTGCAACGCGTGATAAAGTGTTGCGAGAGTTTTCATTTTGGCGCGCAAAGGAAGTCGTGCTACACGCGTACGCGAAGCTGCCGATTCAATGCTTGACATACCTGCCTGGCCTGTGCGACGAAAGACTACTCAGGATTGTAAAAGTTCCAGTCACAGCAAATTATGTAAGAAATTTTGGTATAGGGAAAAAAAAAATCCCATTTCATCCAAGAAAGCGAAATTCCGAAACGCCGAAAAACTTATCGACATCAGTGGGTGTACA